AATGTCCTTCTCCAACGGCCTGGCGTGCGCAGTTGTGCGGGCAAATATGAGAACATGCGAGCACATTGAATGCCGAATATTCTAAATGTGGTAATTGATTGTAACAAGATGTTCAAAACTTAAATTCTATCTTTTCTCAATCAAACAAAATTGAAAAAAAAAAGTGTTATTTGTTTAATGTGTGTCTATCATGCTTTATTATGGATAGAGCATCAACAAAATAAAATCTGCCTTGATGTGTAGCTTTGTCTTAGACTCACTAAGGACGAAAAGTTTTCCGCAAAACAAGGCACATGGACTGCAACATCTGATCAATATTTTATATTATTTTTCTTCCATCTACACTGCCTGCGGTCGTTTAATTATCGAAAGACAAAGAGACTCTGATTTGATCTCTGGGCGCTTTCTAAAGATCAAAACAACATCTTGCAAAATACGAGGGTGCTTTTGGATTCCAAAGCTCACATCCTTCAGATTCTTGATGCGTAAACAAGATAAAATTGTGTAAGGTGAAAGGCAACGAGCCAGGGATGAGCGGCGAAAACAGTCAGGATGCGACGATCCATCTAGAGTATCCACCTTTCCTGTCTCAATAATGAATTGGCTTGCATCGTCATGCCTCTTCTCTGTCAAAACAACCTGTGATCACGGCTTTGGATGAGGTTGCAAGGAATTAAATCCTGGACAACAGCCGAAGTGTAAGAACTCAAGCAAGTAGCAAACAATAGAAAAACCAAGACGCTCTTGAAAGCAAGTGCCAGGCGCACTACCTTTTGCCCCAATGTGCAGCACTCTCCTGCCTTAAAAAAAGAACAGCAATTATGATACAGATTGCCAATTCAATGCTGCCTGCAGCAGGACATGCACGCCGCGGACCAACTGCTTTGGGCCTTCGGCTACCCGACTGCCGAAAGCAGCCCAGCTCCAAGTTTGGGGCTCTGAGGATGCTGCGACAAGGTGGAGGTCGCAACCTTCTCCTTGTCCTTCTCCTTCTCCTGCCCGCGTCGCTTGGAGGGAATGGCTGGACGCTCACCGCCCCAGGCCCTGCCCCCCTGCCCCCCCCCAAAAGGAAAAAGGCAAGCGCGCGTGGGCCGCGCCTGCGATAATTGCTTAGGCAGGCTCGGGCGGCCTGTCCGTAGCTCCGACGGAGAGAAAGGCCGGCAGAAGATGTTGATGTTCGTCCGCTTGCCCAGCGCGGGACTACCACATCGATTTTCACACTTCAGTTGGGATGATGGAGAATAGTGGTGCTGAGTGTGCCGTATTTGAGAGTTGCTTCCACACATTGGCTTCACCCAAGTACGCGGCCTGTCCGCTTGCGTACTATTGATATGTTTCCCCAGAGTTAACTCGCTGTTAATAGGAGGGTCGGGGGGGGATCTACTGATAGGGGAAGCGATGAGCGCTCACCGGGCAGAAAATGCCCATATCCCACTTCACAACATCCTGTCCAAGGCCGCATAGAATGAATACAACGCACGGATTGGAAAGATGAGATGAATATGCAGCCTGCATAAGCTGAAGTGGTCAAATGACTCACTCAAGGAAGCAACTTCCACAATGGCCGCGAGCTTTGCCGCGATCCAATACAGCAGGCGTCAGATCTTTTCAAGAACTCTGGCACGGAAAAAACGTCTGGACATTCGATCAAAGATTCGCTTGCAGCAAGAACTGTCGGCACCAGCTTGCAACAAGCAACTAGCAACGCACAACTTCCACATGGCTGGTAGTACAAACAACAGGTAACAGCAAAGACGCAACTCCGCAGATACCACGGCTCGCAAGCACACAACCCCTGGCCCAAAACTCGTCGGCTTCTGGCGGCAAGCACCTTCCCGACCTTCTGCAGGCCTCGGGCTCAACCAAGGGAGCTACCAGCGGTCAATGTTGGCAGCACAAGAGCATGAAAACGATGATAAGTTGAGCGAGCTTGCAGCAGTCATGCTGAGCTGGCTTGAGAGCATTGAGCATCTTGAGACTGATTGATACCGTTCCACACCTGCCTGGCTACTATATACCCGAAAAGTAACCTAAACACACAGGCTGTCAATAGCCAGCCAATTGGGCATACTTCCCTTAAAAGCAATAAGCACAACCTCGACAATGTGCGGGTCATCCATATCGAATCACATTACCCCCGGTCACTCCGGTCACATGGAAAGGGCGCGTCTTTAGTTTCAGTTGACATCGAAGAGTGGTTGTCCATTTGGATTCCCCCTTAAGACCAACCAACAACGGGGCTCCCCTATTCAAACAATCCACCCACCTGCGGCTTTTTCGTGGCAACTGGTCTGGGCCACCCAGACGTGCGCTTCTCCGGTGACGCCGGCGCCGGCGGCGCCGGCGCGGGCGCACGGGGCTGCTCCTGGATGGGTCACAGAGGCTCCAATCACTTCGAAGATGCCCGAAAAAGATATGGGTGTGATTTGTTTAAAGGGAAGAACCTGCAACATGGGCGGTTCGAATTCCCTTTGAAGCAACCCTTTTGCCAACTTGCCCAAAAGAACAACCTATGGCCCAACCTGACTCAATGCGGATGTCCAAGTCGCATTCGTAAGGGACTGCGGGCTCCTGAGCCTTGCGGTTGAAGTTGTCGCCTGTGACAAGAATCATGACGGGAAGCACAGGTGCCGTGGCCCAGTGAAACTCGACACCAGTATGGCTGCCAAAGCTGATAGGAGTCGCTGCTCCCAACCAGCCCATCACAGCGGCAACCGAAATGTGGTGCAGACATAAAAACACACCGGCAAGAGGGCCAACACTCAAAGCGCCTTCCCTCCCACACCCATGAGACACGCGGGTCACTGCTTTTGTTCAGCTGGGTTCCCTAGTGCAGTGTCAAAGTGAAGGTACCTCCAAAGCCCGTTGGCGCTCGAAGCAAATGGTAGGGTTTGAATAGCTCATTCACCATTTTACAAGGACCCGAGACCTGCAGAACCCAGACATGCTCCGTTTAAAGGTGTGATCTGCCTTCTGCCACCGGAGACTGCATTTTAAGCTCCCAACGCTTAGCCCCCTGTGTGCTCTATAAAATTCAAATTCTACAAGGTTCTGTCACCCTTCCCCTGTCGTCATCCATCTGCCGTACAACCCCTCCCGCCTGCGGTTGCCTGCACCTGCAATGACTCCGTGGCATAGGCTTGACGGCTCGACTGAGGGTCGTGCAGTGGCCCAGAAGCACCGCTACATCACTCAAAAAGTGCAAATGCCAGGGTCGCCTCTTTCACTAACTGAACTAATTGGGCTGGGGTTCATGCTGAATGAAGTGTGCCGCCACACAATCTTATTGCTTCTCCCAACCAAATTCATCCACCCAAGCCACTCGCCCGGTAACCCCACCCGCGGCCTCGGGCTTCACCTTTGGGCGCTTCTTCTTGCCCATAAGCACTTCGAAGCCGGCCTCGGCTTCGAAAAGGCACAAGTTGACCCCAGCTGGCATCCCGAAGCTCCCGAGAATCTCTGCTTTCGTTCCCTCAAGATGAGGGTGTCTTTTTTAGGTCGTTTTGGTCTTCCTTTCAAACCAGAAAAGAAGGGGTACCGAGGCTCAGAGAAAGACACGCGCTTAACAGATTCAGAACACCAGCTAAAGAGCTCGAGTTACGCGTTCAGACAAATATCGTGATCCAGGACTTGACTTCAGCTCGGCAAAGAACCAAACCCAAAATGCTGCTAGGTCCTTCTGAATTGTAAAATGCCTGCTTCTCAACTGGCTTCCTTCAAAAAGCAAGCACAGGTCAAATAGATAGAAATGACTGCTGCTGAGCAAACACCCAACTCGTTTTATGGCATGAATATCCATGGAAAACACTGACTAAAATGTTGGTAGACTTTTGAATCCTGTAAATGGAATCACCGAATTGTTCCCACTTCAAAATCAACCCGTGGCAGCCTACCAGCGCAGGCAAGCTCTGCCAGCCTCGTCCTCCGCAGGCATCTCCTCCGGCCTGAAACTTGGTGTGAACCCAGACCAGCCCCGGGCATGGCGTGTCTTCTTCCCCAGGATGCCATGACTTCCAGGTACAATGGTTCTTTAGCGCCCGACCCCATGCAATTGTTGCTAACAATTGGTGAGTTTCATTTAAGCCATCCATGGCTTGCAGTCGACTCGATTTGCAATTTTGCTCGAGCCTCTCGTCCAGGGTGTCGGAAACCTCTGGCTTCAGCGCCTCGGCTACGGATTCATTGCCGGCCATGCAAATCACACGGACATCTGGCACATGTTCAAGCTCGTGCTCGCCAATGCTGAAATCAAGAGCACCTCAAAAAGCGGTAAGGTCGACATCAATAAAACAACACCACTATCAAAGTCTACATTCGCCAGAGTGCCTGAATTCCTGCTGGCTGGCTTCAGCTACAAGCCTGCCACCCCTATTCACGAGTCAACCAAAGTCTTGAATTGACCCTGAGAACATCAAGTCAATCGGAGAGGAACTTTCATGATTCATCCCTGGCTCACATCACCATCACCCCCCATAGGCCCATAGGAGCCGCACAGTGAGCACCAAGCCAATGCCAGGGGAGTCGGGTGGAGTACCCTGGCAACTTTCAACGCAACATGGCTGTCCTGCATTTGGAGGCTTGTTGCTGCATCCGCTGGAATCCAGCTCAGACTTTGATCCTTTCCCGACTGCATCCTTTCTTCTCTTCGAATAAAGAAGAAGGAGGAAAACGGTAGATATTCCTCTATGTTGGGTGACATGCATGTCTTTCTGTGATCCACAGAAACCAGGGCATGCATCCCACTTCCCTCACTCCCCCCCCCCCACTCCCCACTCCCTACTCCCCCACTCGTGACTCGAATTGGTGGCCTCTGTGGAGATGTCCGCCCAGGTCTTGGCTTTCCGGCCCTGACAAAGCATGGGGAGTTTTGATTTGTCAAGAAACAATCTGCCAGCCGCAAGGGACCCTTCGCAGAGCTGGGAAAAAAATTGGGCCAGCCTTTCATTCCCATTCGACTGGCACAGTGCCAATCGAAAAGCACATGTCCACCATCCGCCAGG